GAAATTGACGCGTTTCCATTAGGCGTATTTTCAATTCGCAATTTCAATTTGCGCAATTTGAAGGGTAATGGAATCGTGCCTACTGACTCCTTTTTCTGTGCTCACTTTTAGGTTCTGTCCATCGAATGGCAAAGAACCGCTGACCAGTGTGTACAGTATGACCCCAAGGCTCCAGACATCCACCTCCGGCCCATCATACTTCTTTCCCTGAAAGAGCTCGGGGGCAGCATAAGGTGGGCTGCCACAAAAAGTATCCAGCTTGTTGCCCAGTGTGAACTCGTTACTGAAGCCGAAATCGGCAATTTTAATGTTCATATCTGCATCCAGGAGCAGGTTCTCTGCCTGCAAGCAAGGGAGGATCTTTAGTGATTGTGTATTTAGGGATGAAATCGAATCTGCATCAGTATAGAAGACTAGTCACAAAGGCAGAGGTAAAGATATATAAAATACAGTGTGAAAATGTATCTTGTGTACCTTGAGGTCTCTGTGGACAATGCACTTCTGGTGACAGTACTGCACCGCTGACACAATCTGCACACACACACTAGCTTACACACAAACTGACTTCTAAAAGGATTTCTTAGAATAAACTTTAGAAACTTGTAAGAACCATTTATATCAGGTATTGGCATCAAGTTTAACAAATACGACTATTTAAATAAGCACTTCAAAAAGAGGTTTGACTGATTGGATCAACCATACCATCGTGCGAACAAGGCATTAAATTTTAAAAGTAGAAAAGAAAGTACATATAATAGAGGAACCCGAAAACCACTGATGTGTTTACAGCCCCTATGGAGCTTTGTATTACAAATAACAACCAAATGCGCAGCATCTCACCTGTCTGAATTTGGCTCGAGCCTCTTTCTCTTTCATTCTGCCGTGGGCTACGAGGTAATCAAACACCTCACCTGCAAACCAAGAAGGGGAACAACAGTCACAGTTAGAAAAGAAACAGTTACACAAATATGAGAGGGTAAGCTAGAAGTCTGGCTTTGGTACGAACACAGCCTCTGGTACTTTACTCTAAAGCAATAATTTGCGTAGCAAATAAACAGCCTCAGGTGACTGATGAAATGAAACTAGAGCGGTCAATAAATTCTAAATGGAAAATTCATGATGTGTATTGTATGTGATTTGTATGGCATAAAAAGTGTGTGTCACTGTTTCCTATGGAATGCAGTCTATGCAGTGGGATGTTTTTGCAGCTGTTGCTGGATGGTCTTCTTAATGTTTGTTAAAAAAAAAAATATATATATATATATAAAATTATATATATATTTCTACTTAAATTTAGCCATACAAAGTGCAAATTACCACAAAAACTCCAAAATGAATATTCAGTAATCATTTACTCACCCTGATGTCTTTCCAAACCAGTTACATAAACTAATATATTCTGAAAAACATTAAAAACCAAAACGTTCTGGTCTTTATTGACTTCCATAATATAGACAAAAAATACAACGGGAGTCAATGGGAACTGACCAAATATTCTTCAAATATTTTGCAGAAAAATATTACAGGTTTGGAACATGATGGTGAGTAAATGATGACAGAATTGTCATTTTTGTGCAAACTATCCTTTAGGTTTTATTAAACCTACCAGCTGGTTTTGATTTAGATCAATTACTAAATGTTTACAAAGAATCTAACAAATAGATGGATTCATTTATACGGTGCATGAACAACTGAACTGTGCTAAACAGCAGTGCATTTTCATCCAGGTCAGGGTCTGAAATTTGAAAAATGATGATACAGTCCCATGGTAAATTTTGGTATTTAATGGAGACAGTGATCATAACTATAAACTGAGAGCCACATCCTGTCTACAGTGAACTACAGAGGCATTTACAGAACAGCTGAACATTCAGAATACAGAGAGAGAAAAAAATTTGTAACGTGTAACAGGGTAGACAAAATGAGGTTAAAATGGGTTGGGGAAAGCTCTGACCTCCGCTGGCATATTCCATCACCAAGTAGAGGGACTTGTCTGTCTCAATCACTTCAAATAACTTCACTACATGAGGACAAGAGGAAAAAAGAGAAATGTAAGAAAGGTTTGACACATTTTGCTTTATTTAAAGGCAAAGTATGCTGGATGAAGACCAAAAATCATTTTGATTTGGATTATTCCCAAGAGGTTTTACGCTCACCAAATCCAGTTGCACAGAAAAACACTGGCATTTGGAGGAGGATTAATGAACCCAACAAAAAAAAATGGAAAAAACCCAGTGGGCACAGCCAAATCCGGAAAACTGGAGATTCAAGCTGAGAGACTTAAGGGTGATTTGTCTGTCTGTTAAGCTCACCGATATTTGGGTGATTCAAGACCTTCATGATCCTCACTTCCCGGAATAGCTGAAAACGGAGACGGAAGATGTCAATGTGCAGCAAACAGATGATGTGGATGTTCTTCACAGAGCGTAAATATTTCAAGCTTGTGCACACATGAGTAAAACGTGGTTAAGAACTACCCCCACCAAACCCCACATCTAACTAACACTTTACTTCAGGAAGTACTTGAGTCTAATTTTCTATAATTAGCTGCCATGGGCCCTACAGAGAAAAGACTTTGCATCTTGAAAGTTGTGAGGCAACAGGAAGAGACAACTTAACAAGGGGGGGGGGAAGAGTTAAAGAAAACAAATTAGCAGTAAGCTTCTGAAATTGTATTTTGACCCCATTAAACCTTAGGAGGAAGGGTCAGACTCACCTTTTGAAGACTGGAGGAGTTGAGCTGTGTCTTGTCTATGATTTTCACCGCCACCTGATTGAGAGGTTGAAGAGCTCGGTTAGGGAAAGTGCTTGGGAAAAGCCCTGAGGCGGCAGGCACACATCAGCCTCAGTCTGCCTTCATACAGATCACAATCTCACATCATCAGGAAACAAGTCACCATGCCGCACTGAGATTACAGCACGCTGCTCCTGCGGCGAGCGCACACACGTGAACCCAGAGTTTTCAACTACACCCTCTTCTCTATCGGTCTCATACTCCTCTCTGTGGTCACGAGTCACATGGTGCATTATCAGTGTCTCAGAACCATGCAGTCTCATATTAGCAGGCACAGGGATCCAAAAACAAGCCCAGCTGAATAATGGCGCTTTTCCACTGCATGGTACGACACAGTATGGCACGGCTCGCTTTTGGGAGGTTTTCCACTGTGTACAGAACCTGGTACCTGTTAGTTACCAAAATGTGACGTGTAAACCCTGCTGATCACTGATTGGCTGAAGAGAATCGCCACTACCAGCGTCATTGAACTTGCGTCACGAGACACCAGACCCGCTAGATTAAAGGTGCAGTAGGAGATCTTGGAAAATGCTAGCTTTAGCCTGATAGCACTGAAAGCGAACGTACCACCGTCCCTACAATCGCCGTCCAAAGCCACGCCCCCTTAACGCATATACGCTCACAGACCAGAATACCAGAGACAACATTACTACAATAGGCTACATCAGCGGTTCCCAATTCCAGTCCATGTTCCGAAGTGAAGTAAACTTCAACGGATTTCCCCTGCTCAGTGAGGAGGGAGCAATGAACACTGTGTCGGGATCATATAGATCGGAACACAGTTCATGCATGTAGCTCACTTCTAATGAGCTGGTTATCTGAATCGGGTGTGTTAACTAAGCGAGACATGCAAAAAATGCAGAGGGGGGTGCGAGGACTGGAATTGGGAACCACTGGGCTACATCATGTGTCATTCTCCAGTGAGAAAATTTTAAAAGTACTACAATACCAGGAAGGAAGATCGGGTTGTTGATGTTTGTCTGCTATTCTCACTCTGTCTGCACAGCGTGTGTGAACATGTTGATGACGTGTCCTGTCTGCGCGAACAGGGTGCGCAGAGGTATGATAATACATACGCTGACAGGCAGGTAGGAAAGCCAATTAAAACACTCGGACCGAGTGCTTTGATTGGACGAACATTTCTTGGTCCTACGCATTCCACAGAATATATAAATACAGATAAATACATTTAGACCACTTAACTTAATGATTGCTATCGGGATGTGAAGAGACTTTCAACCAGCATAACAAAAAATGTTTCTGAAGACAATCACCTATTGCACCTTTAAATCAGCACAGCCAGCGAGGATCGAACGCAATTTTTTTCGAACGAGTGTACCTTTTTTTTAAACAAAAAAATCATGGCTGTTTCGTGGTTTGTTGAGTATGTACAGACATTCCTCTCGTTGATAGTCGAGGAGCAGATCCAGCGAGAGCTTGATGGGATGACGCGGAATGAAAAAGTTTTTCAGGAGATCGCTCAGCACGGCAGTAGAGGCAGCACAACTATAACGACGTCTATAACCCCGCCCACTCTAAAGCGGTACTAAACTGCAGTGGAAACACAAACTGAGCCGAGCCGAGCCGTACCATGCAGTGGAAAAGCGCCATAAGTATGCTGTAGCATGCAGAATTCAGAGATTGTTAATGAAAACTGGACCACAAAGGGTCACGTAATCAGTTCATTATGCAGAAAGTTAGAGATGCACCGATTGACCGGCCAGTGATCGGAATCAGCCGTTTTTTCCGCATGACCAGCCGGATCGGTGACCAGCCGGTCAGTCTCATGCCTTGCCAATTCCGAGCTGATCCTTTTATTGCCAGCGCACAGGCAATGACGTCACAGCCACGCGCACACTCACAGTCGCGTGTAAACATGTCGTTTCGCGCAAGAATGATTCTAATTTTAATTGCATTCAATGTATTTATGTCATGTGAGTGTGTGAGAGAGACAGCACACACAAAGTAACTGAAATTTATAGATGCATACTGCGGTAGAAAAAAAAAAGATATTTACAAAATATGATTTAGGTAAGCAACATTATGTTAACCATGATGTTTCCCCGAATATCAGTATCAACACGATTGCAATGTGACACTGATTTTATACAATAGTATTTCAATAAACAAGTTAGACTTAGATTTTAGACAAAATATTGACTGTTTTTGCTCAATTTCGCTGATGAAAATAGTTCCGATCAAAGCCACAGCAGAACTGTTGTGTGCCTCTGAGCAACACACAGCAGTGTTTCGTTACTGAATGAATCCACGTTTTTGAACGAATCCAGTGAGTCAATATTTCAGTGGCCCATTCATAAGGACAGTCACTTGCCTCATTTCTGAATGAATCAGCCATTTGAACAAATCTGTTAAATGAAGGACTAAATGACTCATTCAAACAGTCATTTGCCGCCACCTACTGGTTTGGTTTCATATTTAAAACTGTCATTGCATTTTTCCCAACATTTCTTATTTGTATGTTTAAAAATATTTAATTTATGCAGTGTAAATGCATTTATGGCACCTCAGCTTCATCAAACAGTCTGTGTAAATACATCTGACGCCACTTCAGATGCAGCTTCTTTGTTTCCTGCAGTGGTATTTTGAGAGTTGTTTAAGTGAGAGAAAATCTGTAACTTAGTCGAGATTGGGGGAATTGTGTCACACTTCCAAAAAATCGGAAATCGGAATCGGCCAAGAAAATTGCAATCGGTGCATCTCTACAGAAAGTGTAAATATATAGTTGCATTTTCTAAATTCAGTGTGATATAATAATGATGCACCACTGTTTCACTATTAAAAACAATGATTAGAGCTGATTATGTCCTGTCAATTATATACTAATTAATACCACTTTATTTTTTGCACAATTTTCTACATCTCAGCTGGTCTTTATTTCATGTTTTGAAATACAGTAATTAAAGCACCATAAAGTCATGATGCAACTGAAGAATTTTTGCATTGTGACATACATCCAAGAGAAAAAGATTATCAAAGAAGAAATGAAATGTAGGCCCGTGACTTGGTTCAATTCACTGGTTGTTCAATGGACCGGAGTTTAAGCAGACGAAACCATTAGCCTCTTTTCCACTATCAGGCCGAACGGTTCTAAGAACTGTCAGGTACGGTTCCAGTTGTATTTCCACATGAACCTGGTACGGCGCGGCACGATTACAAACCGTTCTCGGCACGGAATTCTCAGCACGGTTAGACAACCGTGCTGGTAGAGTGCGTGATGTCGCCACTCTGTTGCCTGGCTACCAGTTTCTCCATAGCTGGCTAAGCTGAAGCGAAGCGCGCTATTTGATCAAACAGCAACGTAAACGGCTACGCTACGTTCAATATAAAAAAAAAAAGAAAAAATGTCTGAGACAGTTTGGTCTGTGGAGGAAACCTTTGCGCTTATTCTGGCTATTTTATTTTTCATGTCAATAGTTGTGTCCTTTTTTCTGTTATTTAACGAAGTAAATATAAGATAAAAAAGGAGTCCCAAAAAAAGAAATATCTGATCATTGTCCATATCGCTGTTTACATGACATTTGCGTTACCAAGGCAACGACTGACACATTTGTATTACATTCCAAAGAGCTCCGTTACTGGCACTACAGTGGAAAATGAAACCGTATCCGTGCTGACTGGCCCGGATCGGCACGGAATGGAACGGTTAAGTAAAGAGAACCGTTCAGCCTGATAGTGGAAAAGCAGCAATAGAAGAAGTCTGGCATGTCAACAGAGAGAAGTCTTTTGAGATATTTCAATTAATTTAAAAGGTAAAAAAATTTTTTTATGAAACGTTTGTATGACTGAATCACAATAAGATCAGTTTTATGCATTTAGAAAAAAAAGATTAATTTTGTGAATTTTCATTTCATGCAGACTTTAAATTTTGCATTTAGAGAATAAAATTCCTTCCATTTTTTCCAAGATGTGTAATTATCAGCATTTTTAAAATGAAAGTATTTTACAGTGTTAAAAAATATTGGTACTATTAGATGTTGTTCTGAGTATGATCATAGTATGATGACAAAAATACAGTTTAATGATATTACTGGGAAACACTATATTGCCATTTCTACATACACTTTCAGTGCATAGCAGAGGCAGTTTTTTTTTTTTTTCTGAGAGGGATCAGGTGGACGGCTGCTGCTGTTGCTTTAAGATCTCAGAGGTGTCAGACTTGAGCTAACAACTGAGCAGCATGTTTATCATCATCTGCATTATGGAGATCAGACAAATGATCTAAGCACATTCCACTTATCAGACAAATCACGTGTCATTCAAACAGCTTACGGTTTGCCACATTCTTTATTTGGGGGGTAAACGCAATCCTCACCTCTTTGTCAGTGAGGACGTGCTTGGCCAGTTTGACCTTGGCGAAGTTGCCTTTGCCGATGGTTTTCAGGAGTCTGTAGCAGCCGATGTGGGGCTGCTCGTCTGCTGTGGTGTGGAGCACGTTGGAGCGCACCCCGGGCTTTGAGTCGGAGTGAGACTGCAAAGGGAGAGAGAGAGAAAACAGTTTAGGTCAGTGTTTGTTTTTTCAAACTATTCCAGACCACAGGGAATGGTTATGAAGGTTGAACCTAAACGCACAGATGTGAGGTTTGCAGAGAAACGCTTTAATAATATTCTTATCAGAGCTTGGGTGATTCTGACTGGATAGGACTCTTGCCAGTCGCCATCTGACTCTCACACTAAGAGGACATGCAGAGGGAGGCAAAGATGAAGAGTGAGGTAGAAAAAGGAAGAGACTGTGACAAAGAACAGACATTAAGGATGCACCACAATTTCGGTAGAAAACAACATTTTCAGTTTTTGACTAATAGGAAAAAACCGGCAGTAAATTTTTGCCAAAACTAGAACAGAAACTACACTGACATCTAATAAAAGAATCACTGACTTAAAAAAAATTCTGATTAAATGGTTTAGGTTTCACTTAAGTAAAGAGAGGCTGCTGATGGATGATATTATTGATGGAAAAGAGATTGTGTTTAGACAAGCACAATGTCTAAAAGCCTAAAGATGCACATCGCAGTCAATATTCACAAGTGACACACTCAGTTTATATTTGCATTTCCTAGCGGTGTATTATAGTCTCAATAGCAAACTTAACATACTTTGCTCAGCCTCTTAGTTATGAGCAAATAAGTCAGTGAGATTTATTAATGTTTTAGAAACATCTCTTATGCTCACAAAGGCTACATTTATTTGATTAAAAATACAGAAAAACAGTAATACTGTAAAACAGTATTACTATTTAAAATATCTTTTCTATTTTAACGTATAAATTGTAATGTAATCCTGTGATGGCAAAGCTGAATTTTCAGTAGCCATTACTCCAGTCTTCAGTGTCACATGATGCTTCAGAAATCATTCTAATATGCTGATTTGGTGCTCAAGAATTATTTCTTATTATCATGTTGAAAATAGACATGCTGTTCATATTTTTATGGAAATTGTGATACATTTTTTTCAGGATTCTCAGATGAATAAGTTCAAAAGAACAGCATTATTTGAAATAAAAATTAGTTGTAAATGTCTTTACCGTAACTCTCGTTAACAATGCATCCTTTTTGAATAAAGTATTAATTTCTTTAAAAAAAATAAAATATTATATATATATAAGACTTGTGCCGGTATTTGGTAATGCGATATATCACGGTAATGAATATGCACGATATTGTTACCAAGTACCGTGAATAATTATATATTACAAATTATTCAGAATTTTGAATGCATTTTAAGAATACTTTTCCCATCAACTGGTCAAAATGCACAACACCGCTGTATGCAGCGTGAAAGACGTGCGCACTCTGACGTAAACAAGCGCGGACGAGAAGCACATGGCGGAACATGCGAGACGCTATGGATGAAAGCGTACTTTCACTCTCTGACAGCAGATGGCGCTAAACTGCAGAAATAATAATAATAATAATATTAATAATAATAATAATATAATATTCAATACATTTTTTTTTTTTCAGATTTCCAAGGAAACCAAGGTATGACAACTTCCATGCACTAATGAAGCCCTTATTTTGAATAGACTTTTTACCATCAATATTTCAATGAACAGAATAAATGTTTTACACCTACATAGTACTTTACCACAATAACAGCTCCATCAACCTTTAAAAATATTAATGTCTGTAAAAATGTAAAAAGTTAAAATTGAATTTTAGCTATTCCAAACAAAGACTAATACAAAATTAACACTTTCAGTTTTGGTTTTCAGACCAGTATTTCAGTTTCAGCCATTTTCATTTCAGTGCATCACCAGCAGAGTTGACGAGAAAAGAGAGAGATTGACATGGAGCAGGATGATGTGTGATGCTGTGAATTTGGTCACATGACAGACAGCAGGCAAGTGAAAAAAAAAAAGAAAAGAGGAAACTAATGGAGAGTGAGTGTGAGA